TAAAACATTACTCTAAATTAATTTTATGTAAATAAATTTTTTCAAAAATCTACTAGTCATTGTATACACACTTTTAAATTTTATTTTCATGATAAAAATAATTAATAAAGTAAACAAAATATTAAATAAATGTCAAACGATATATTCAGTGAATCTAATTACAGTAGTTAAAATAGTAAATTTATACTTTTGCTATTAGGTTTTTTGATTTACAGACTTTGTCAATCTTACATAAAATTAAAAATAGTAATGAAAATAATTGGGATATTCATTATTGCAATTGTTATTGATATAGGTAATTGCACTTTTGCCAATGAAATACATGAAAAACGTTTGGAAAATATAAGAAAATTATCATTATGGAATTACGTACAGGAAGATGAAGATTATTTCATAATACAATTTCGAATGATTTATCGTACAATTAAGTATATTTTATTAATAACTGTTTACGGCTACGATGTATTAAATTTTGAATATGATGAGGAATCTACAGTGTTTGTTGATCACCTTATAAAAGGATTGAAAATATTAAATGCAGCTCTTGTTACAGTAGGTCGGAGTTCGCATTATGCATTAGGAGATCCTTACAATAATTATCAAATCGACATAACTTTAACGACTTTGAATCACATAAGATCACACTGCATTTTTTTTTTATCAGATACCGCCAATTATAAAAAATTTGGTATCGAGTACGGGTATACACCAGATCATTTTATACCAACAAAGGATGTATTAGAAACTTATCTTCACAACTTCCCTGCACACAACGATGGTGAAAACACGTATAATTTCCATATAATGCCTACAGAATATCACGATATTATAGCTAAACTGGGCAAAATTTGTGAGTTGATTGAAATTGAATACAAATCTTTTGTGGGAATGTCAGCTTGGACAAACGAAGAGTTACTATCAGTTTTAGTGTAATGGTAATTTATATGTCTTTATTAGTTAATCAGATAACATAGGCAATTAATTTTTGTTAATTTACTGTATGGAAAATATTATACACTTGTATTGTATTTTTAAAAATATCTAAAAGTTATTTTTTATCATATTTTATTAAACTGAATATATTGTAAGCCTCATTGTGTTGTTTAAATTATAAACTACCAAGTCCTAGAGAGGAGAATTTCGAACATAGCATAGTGGTCTTGCGTATTTTAAAACAACTAAAGGTACTTGTAAAAATTACTTTTTATAGTTAAAAGAGAGTATTCTAACAAATCTTAATGTAATCATTGTAATAACAAAAAATGTTTTTGAATAGCCTGCGGTTAAATCGATTTAATGATGGGTTTACTTTTTACCTTCTTCAGTTATTTATTACGTGAGTTGTATTACTATCATGCTAAAAAATCATATATACTTAACAAAAATGTACCCCTCATTTTTTTTTTTTGTAAATATTTTATTAGAATTTTATCTTGAATGAGCTGACTGTGTGTTATGGTGGCTTTTATTATATTTGTTATCTACATAATCATGATAAGGCGTTGTAGTTTTTTTGTGAGTGTGCAAGGTATTCCAGCTATGTGCTACTTTGAACCGGCTCATAGACGGCACTACTAAATACACTCACCCCGCTCCTTTCCCCTCTAGAAAATAACAACGCACTTTTCATCATATTCAATTTTCACCTTTGGACAAATCTTGATTGAATAGTATTCTTGACAATTTCTAGCACACATTTCATTAACTCATACTCTTAACACTAGCCGAAACATCACCACCGGTACGCCAAATCAAATGTCGGTGGATTTTTCTGTATTTATCACAAAGATGGAAAGTTGTGTGTTATGGTCTGTCCGTAGCATGTGAATTTTTTATTGTGTGCATTAAAGCATTATACTTTTTGTGATATTTTTTCGTGAGTGACCAACAATGAATATAATATAAATGTAAATTTTTTTGCCTCGTATTAATCTACATTTTTGAGGAAGTTAAAAGTATGTCAAAAGTGTATACCGGACCGGTTGGCGTCACGCGACCTGTCGGACGAGGAGAGGCACCTGTGTCGCAGTCGCCATCAAATCGGAAGTGCAATGCGACCGCGTCAAAAATATCAACTTTTTAACGAAAAAATAACTTTTTGAAAATGTTCCGAAAATAATGCGTTCCTTGAATATATGTTAAATTAAAAAGTTTGAAAAAATGTCCTCGTTCGATTATGATTAAAAAAAACAAATATCTATTTATCATTGATGTACTCGAGATGACTAAAACGAACTTTATAAATTTATAAATCCCGAACCCCTTTATTATGTATAAGAAATGAATATAAAAAACACTAATTAATTGATAAATAGAGAATAGTAGAAAAGAAAAAACATTACCCTTAAAATTTCTCCTTTCTGCCTATTGATACACGTCCGCTTCTCGGGTGACTATGCCTTAGAAACCTACGATGGATAGCTGACTGGCTATATGTACTTAGGTACTGATGTTACATATTTAATTTATTTACCTTTAAAGAAACTACCAAGGGCTACACTTTCGATTAAGCAACGATACAGTTTATTGTATAGACTAACTAATAATAGAATTATTCAACCAGGTGGACAGCTCTAGAGATGTTGACAATCCAAAAGAGAGCTGAATGCGATACACACACAATGGTCGGGTTACACCGAATTATATTAAATTAAGTTGTAAATGTAATAATATGAAAATTATGATATGTAAGTATACGAAATACTCGCAAAATCATAAAATACTAATAAAATTTCATGATCATATGTTAATTCCATCGTTATTTATAGCTGTTGGAAGTATAGATATTGTTATATTACGGTTATTTTAACTTAAAAAAGATGCGTTGTCAATTTTTTTAACAAGTTAAACATTTCTTTATTTAATTTTATTAAAAGTAAAAGCCAAAGATTTAAAAAAATGAATACTTCGAAAAACACATTTTTTGTCGAAGTAATGGTCGTTTTAATCAAACAGAACATTTTTTGTGTCGTTTTAGTAATTAAAAAACACAATACTAATATTACCCTATTTTAACCGAGTATCAATACATAGATATTGTAGAACAAGTGTTCTAGATTTTAAAAATATAAATTATTTTGATGGTTAAAAAATATAACTGCATAAGTCTAATCATTTTTATGTACAAAAGCTTTCATGTATTTTTTACATTTGTGAATTTTCTCTCTTCTGCGTATGATGTTTGCGGCTCGTGTGGTTCTCCAACCTTTGTAATTAGCTTTGGCATGGAAGCCTAAAATAATAAATACTTACGTGACATCATCAGCCAATTTAAAACTCCAAATCATGTAGCGTTTGACACATACGGAGCTCGTATGGTAATATTTGAAAAGTGCCAAAGAAAAATGACACAAAAAGTACAAAACCTTTACGAAGCCGGATTTTTTTTTTTTCATAGGTAGTAATTGTTTATTATTATAAATTCGGTGATAACAAGATGTTAGTTACATATATTAGAGTTTTATGTACATATAAATATATATAGTTAGTTTTAGGTAATGGTTAAAATAATCGAATTTATTGTTTTTGCCGTCAAGTACTAAGTGATTGAGATGATGATGATGTATCGTGGACAGAACACGTACAAATGCGTTTGGAGTTTATTCTACAAAGGCAAAATATTTATTGATAAACATATAGAAAAAATAATGAATAACGTTAAAAAATTCCTTGGTTTTCGATGCTTAAATAATTTATATAGTCAAGAGTTACAAGTTAACCATTGCTTTAAGCATAATACTTTGTACAAGTTCGGACATAACGTGATTCCGTTGAGCAAAATAGATGTCTTACAGTCGACATCATTCTGGTTTGGCTAATACTTTTCCAAAACACATTTTTCGTCATCCCTTTACGAAAATAGATCCGCAGACAATAGATCTTGAATGTCAACAATCATTCAAGCGAGAAAAACGGGTATTCATTATACGAACATAGCAGTTTCTATTTTAGTATTTCAAACGCATTTGATGTTATTATTTTAAGTCAACAGTAATTATTCTCAGGATTTCACCGCAATGATGACAAGCGGTTGGCGATCGTGTAGTTCCTCAAATTAGGAATGTTGGTATAAAATTACTTAACGATTAAATATTTTTGGTAAATGGTTTTTTCGTCTACGAAATTTTTAGAATTTCGTCATTGATGTTGTCGGTGGTGGCGACGTTGGTGGTTTTGTATATATTAATCTATTTTTTTTTTCAATAACTTATAAATATCAGCTTAAACTATTAAATATAATATTATAATAAAGTATCAAGAATTGGAGGTACACATAAGACCCCGAAGGAATAAAGAAGAACTATCAATATGTATCTTATATTAAAGATCGTGTCGAGAGCGGATAGAATTCTATAATTGCAGGTAAAAAAAAATTTATGACCAGCCGTTACTGAGTTGCTAGATATTTTATGCAAATTTTTTAAAACTAACGTTCAAAATACGTCAATGAGCCACGGTTGCGAACACCTAATAATATTCGAGTATTCTTGTTGTATGTTAAAACCTTTATGCGCATGTCTGGGAGAACCTCAGCCTTTCCCACAGAGTAGGTTAAAGACACCTAGGATTTCAGTTAGGTTTAAGGGGATTCATAGTTTACATCGCCCCTCCTCTTTAATTTTGGGTGGGTTAAAGAAGGGGGACGGCCGCTATTTTAAATTTCCCCCTCACTATAACACCTTTACCCCTCTCCATCGAAGACAATGCCCACCCCGCCCTTCGTTTGATGGCGTGAAGAGAAGAACAGCTAAAAATATCCAACTAGTTATTTCCTTTTTTTTCAAAATTCAAATTTTTATATATTCTAATAGAAAATAATTTTAATTATTTCCTTATAAGTACTATATTATATGATTATAAGAATGAATTTATTTATATAATTTTTAGTTTTAAAAGTTGTAGATATTAATTTTGAAATATAACATTATTTCTAGACAACAGCTGTATTAGTTTCTAAGAATGATCGAATAATTCATATTAAATCAAATAACTAATTTAATACAAATATAGCAACTTTTGTCACGGTTTGGCTTAAAAACTAGTTATTACCTTATTACTTACTTTTGTAAGAAGATTTTTTTCGATTAAGAATGTTGCAAAAACATTGGATTTTTTTCATACTAAGCAGTATAACTTTTCAATCAACAAAAGGAATTCATTTATACAACGAGGTGAATAATATGCTTACACATCCTTTATGGAGATTGGGTATTGAACATATGAGACGTGATTTCGGTGTATATCCGCGTTTCTTTTTATTTGATGAAGAAACTAAGGAACCAAAAATGATTACAGCTCTCACACTGTTTCCAAATTTCACTCCTGTACTTGTTACTGAAAATAACTTCCGAGAAAAGGTAAGGCAGTACCATTTATTATTAAGCTGCTACTATGGAATGGAATTAAAGTCCTATCTATATTATGTGAACATATTATGGAAATTATGTACAGCTGTACGTCCAAATTATTGTGAAATCCCTTTAAAAAAAACCATAAATGAATTTGTTGTAGAACTGATTAAAATGAATAGTTCTTTACTTCATTTTTCTCAATGGTTAGGTAATAATCCTATATTATCGAACTCAGTTCACACAGTCATTGATAATCTCCTTATAATATCTCAAAATATCAATATACAAACATTCAATAAAACCAAAGAAAAACTAAATGATGCATGTGAAATGTTAACACAATTTTTTGACAAGCATATGGTACCGAAAATTGACAAAAAAAAATTGAAAGCTGCGACTATTATTACTAGCGAAGCTATAAAAGAAAATTTATTAAGTGTAAAAATTTACAACATTTTTAATTACTTCAAGGAAAATGTTTATCAAAGTATTTTTACAAATAAGCAATATGGTTTTATTTATGATAAAAAAACATATTTATGTATCGGAGTAACAAAGTATGTAGAATATCCAAATACGCCATCACCACAAATTAGCGAGGAGTATGTTTAAAAACACATTAACATTTCTAGTTGAATAATTGAATTGATTAATCCAAAATCTGGTAAATACGTAATTTTCAGTTTGAAAAAACTAAAACAACTTTCCAAATTAGATTTTATTTTATTTTTTACTTAACTTGTTAATGTATAAAAAATTATACAATTTTTATTTATCCCTTTAAAAACCTTTTTAATTTTTAGTAAGTTTTATAAAAAAAATTGTATTTAACACGTTTTTACAATAAATTGTGTTTATAATCATAAAACTTTTTACTCTATCGTAATTAGTATCAAAATTTTTTATTTTTCCAAAATTTTAATAAGTTGTTTTCGTGAATGCCGAAGTCTTTATTTTTGTATTCTTCAACTCAGAAAAAATGTATTTTTTTGATTATTTGACCGATTCAGATTAACTTGCTGTGAATCATTATAAATTTCAATAGTTTCCTTTGATTGAATTTTATATAACTTCACATAAATTTCGTCTGAAATACTCAATTTGTCAATTTAATTTTTAACGATTTGAATTTCGGCGACATCATTGTCATTAATATGATTGCATTCTTGTAGTTTTGTAAATTTAGTTAGATGTTTTTTTAACGACTTCTGATACAAAATAACTTTGTGAATAATAGGGCATTTATTTTATTCAAGTTCATCAGATGCTGCTTTAAATGGTTCTAAAAATTTAACGATTTTTTTCGGTAACTCTCCGTTAATATTTTTTACACGACTTAATGTTTGTCCATGAATCTCAATGATTTCTGGAAGTGCACGTTGTACAGATTACAATATTAATAATCGAGTGTTCCATCTAGTCTCTACTTCTTGTAAATCCATTGTTAAGTTCACAATTCCTTTCGCTGCTTTTCAAATACCACTTAACTTTTAAATTCATTCATTAATGCTGTAACAAGGTCCAGACGTTTGCTTGCGTCTTCATCTTCATTATTCAAAAATCTATCATCGAATAAATTTCTTAAAACTGTATTAAGTAAATGTGCACAGCAATTAAGAATTATAATTTCTAACACTTAAAACTTCTAAGTGTTGATATAATATTTATTCTTTAGTCAGTAATAAATGTTATATTAGACATTAAATCACAATCAGTTTAATTTGCAGCCTCAATTATTTGAAAAACTAAATTGCGTAAAAAACATTTTAAATTTTCGGCAGATTAGTTTCATTTGAGGGAAATTGGCCAGTAAAAAGTAATCAACTTTTTAACTCCTAGTTATCGTTAAAAAGATATATAGATTTATATATATAGGTTTAATTATACGATAGATATATTATAACTTCCGATATATATGCTATTGCCCATCTGCTGCGCCTTGTCCGTCTTATTGTCTACTTCCAGTTTGATACTACCTGTATATTTTTAATACAATAACTAACGATGTATATGCTATTGCCCGTCAGCTGCGCCTTGTCGTCCAACTTGCAGTTTGGAACTACCTGTATATTAGCATTATAATAACTACCAACGCATACGACATTGCCGTATTATATTAACAATATACGGGTAGTTCCAAATTGGAATTTAGTGGAAGTTGGATAAGCGCACCAGACGAGCAATAGCATATACATCGGTAGTTATTATAATACATCTATCGTGTTACAATATACAGCGTGTTCAGTAAATAAGGAAACGAATTTCTATTGTACTCATTGTTTGTAACAATTTAACTGTTTCCTAACTTACTGAACACCCTGTATATCATTAACCTACCCCCACCATAATATTATAAATATATTATATGATAGGGATATAATATAAATCATATTATATATATAATAATTTTCTGAAACTTTTTGGAAGCCGTGGTGGACGGTTTGTCATTTAGGCAGTCCCTTTTTTTTTATTTATTTGAAACTATAAAAAAATTTATTTACTAGGGTGATTAAGGAGAATTTTGTTGAAATTTTAAAATAGCCATTTTTTTGCCTTTTTCTTATAAAAAATTGATGAGCCAATTACAAACATAAGGTTGAGAGCATGCTTTATATATATGTATATGTATATATATATATATATATATGAACATATAAAGTAATGTAGTTAACCATCTAATTTTAGATATATTTATTTTATTTTATATTTATAAATTAGTCATTATATTAATAAATATAATTGTATAAATTATACAGGGGTTCAAAAATTAAGGAAAAGAGTTCCCATTGTTCGTAACATTTTTCTCTTTACTTATTGAACGTGAAGCACATAAATACTACAGATGGACAACATGCTATGTATAAACAGGGGTGATTTCGTAGAGAGAGTAGGGATGCGACATTCCCAAACGTTTTCACAGAAATAAAATTTCAACCATAAATTCTAAGAGCTTGTTTATAATTTATGTTCAAAAAATTTATAATTGTTTTGTTGGGTTTAATTAAATTCAATTGAAATTTTATATATGAAGGTTTATTTTTATTTTTAAATATTAAATATGTCAAAATTAGCCTGTTATACAATGTTGTAAAAAATACTTTTAAAATGTATTTATGTAATAACTCAAATAATTTCCAAAAAAAAATATTTAAATTACCACCAAATACTATTAATTATGTATTTGAAATAATCTACAAATACAAAACAAAAATGATTGAAAGTTTTTTATTTTAATAAAAAATTTTATTGGTTGCACATTAAAAACATTATTTATTGAAAATATATATCAGATATGTTAGTCCTATTTTTAGTGATTGCAGCAACACCAACACTTAAAATTCAAAATCTCAACTGATGCACTGCATGGTAGAGGAGTGTTGTATTTAATGAAAAACTAAAAACAAAATATAAATTTTTTAGTAAAATTATAATACTTATAAGTGTCTAACTAATCATACTTTTTTAATTTTGGGTAAGTTATGTAAAAATTCTAATGTTTTTGCTGTAGATGTACCCAATATTCTGTCAATTTCATGACTAACTATTGACTTTTTCCCATGGACATTTTGTGTCCCGATAAAGAAACTAGATAAATTATGAATTTGGTCATAATCTGTAGAATCATTTTCATTAATATTTTTGGTGCAAATCATAACAGACATATTATAAATACTTCGTGCCCATTTGTTTTTTTATTTCATTTTTAATCCAGACAGTTTTAAATTGTGGGTGGCAGACAACAGTAGTAGTTAAAAAAATTTTCATCAAAGAATCAGACAACCTTGTTTTTATACCTAAAAGAAGAGAGTAACACTTAAATATTAATATCAATGAAGTTTAATTTTATTATACTACTCAGTGTATACAAATATAAATATTCATATAAAACAATAAATAAATAATAAATTGACATATGTAGGATATATGTACTCACCAATATTATAGAACATGATTAGTTAAAATAAAAATAATTAAAAGTATAAGATAGTAAATGTATTTGGCTGATAAAGTATATTTATGTATTATTTCTCGCTACATAAGCAACACATATTGTTTTGAGATAAATTCACTTAAAATTATATTGCTTTATAGTTATTGTTATTACATACCATTTAATATAGCAGTTACAAGACCTTGCATATAATTGGGAATTGTGTCATTATATGAGAGATGGTTAAATTTTAAGTTAATATCTCCTTATAGTAAATCAAGGCTTATTGAAATTGTTCCTATTATTTTTTGACATTGATTTAAAAATACAATGTCACATCTATTAAATCTGCAAATATATATATATATATATATGTGCAATGAAATAAAAATTATTTATTTATTTTATTTTAGTATTAACTTCATAATAGATAATTCATCCATACTAATTCTAAATTTAAGTTCATTATTTTTAATTAATTTATTAAGCAACACCACTGCATCATACGATGAATTCCAACATGTCTCGTTGGGAGTTATTAATTAAACGCCAATATTTTGTTTGATTAAATTAGCTAACTTGGTCGAGCACCCTTGTTTGTTCTGCAAAGCAGTTGACTTGGCAAAAGTGATTCTGGACTGTTTTTTTTAAAGTAAAATTAGACAAAGCTATATAGGAGTCCTATACAGAAATTGTTAATTAAACAAATCAAATATTTGATATAAAATGTTACTTTTTAAATATACAATGGATGGTTATATTCTTATATTAATTTTTATTTACCACTGTTGTTATCAAATTGTGTGTTTACAACATCGGTGATTTTGGGTAACATTTACATTTTTGAGTTATTTGGATAACAAATACTGAGAATCTAATCTTTATTATTTAGAATGCTAAAATTGATGACATCAATTTATTCTATTTCATCATCTTCTTCTACTAAATTGTACACAAGCAACTGATTAGAAATTTCAATTTTTCATAATCAAGTACATGATCAATGTTCTAAAAGATATAATAAGGGTGAAATTCAAACTACTTAAATGAGTAATTAATTTTAATTCATAATTTTCCATTAATATAAATGAAAAAATTATTAATTTCAGATGTATGTTATATTAATTAAAAATATGAGCAATACCAACATAAATAATTTTATAGTTAATAATTTGAATAGATCTTACTCAAAACATTTTAGGAAATTAAAATGTTATATGTAGTACAATAACATAATTTATCTGAAATGTAAACTGTGTGTATATTTCATCTATTGCTTTAGCTAAGTTATTACATGTATGTNTAAACTGTGTGTATACTTCATCTATTGCTTTAGCTAAGTTATTACATGTATGTGACTCTTCTAGTCTTCTTAGTGTTAGTAATAAATCCTCATTGATCCATGCGACTGTTATTCCAATGTACAATCTAAAAAAATTTATTACCTATAAAATATATAAATATACTACCTATAAAATCTGTTCATTAGGTACCTATACAAATAAAAAAAAACCTATTAATTACTTTTTAAAAATCTGTAGTCGCAACAATATGATAACATTTAAACATTTCAGATTTCATTTTGAAGGATAATTTATGAAAGTCTTTCTCAATACTTTTCATTAAAGTAGGCCGAGACATAAGTTTTCTGTTGGGGAAACCTCATTCAATTATATCCTTTAAAACAAGATTTACAATTATTCTAAATGGTAAATTAACACTTTAATTAATTGTTGCAGTAGTTGATCCAAGGTATCTGAAATCAAAATTATATTATATTGATAATAAAAAATAATAGTTTTTACAAAAACATATGATAAAAGTTTTTTGATTTAAGCTAATAAAATGGACAAATAATTTATTAATTTTATATATTATAAAATGTCAGTTTTGGAATTATTTCACCTAGAGTGCCAAAACATTAAATATGTGAGTACACCGACACATAAATTCATGTATTATGTAAGTAATTTTGATTAGGCCCCAACTTGATAAATTTAAATTACTATGCATATTCTTACTTTGATTAGTAAACCTTTTTTTCATCAAAAAATCCTCCAGAACTGGCAGATTTATCTGTTTTTCTTCAAGTTGTTTTGAAGCACTAACACTACTGTTTTTCAGTCATTACATATCTTTGAAATTTTTCTCCGCTCCAATATAATCAGTTGTTTTTAATATATTTGGATATTAGTTCTGAATACAGTTAAATAATAACTTTAAACGTTTTAATTAATATTTAAATTTTTAATTTAGTGTGACCTATTGGAATTTATTTTTTAAAATTTATAAAATCCAATAATAATTATAATAATAATTTCAATAATATAAACTCTAAGTTATAAAAGAAAATATTTAAAGCAACAAGTTTAAAAATATAATTAAACTAAACTATTTAACTTCACAGAAATGTAGTACTATAGGAAATTTTATGTTAGACCTAACATAAACTAAGTAAAAATTCTGATATCAAAACTTTCAAAGATTATAATGAAATTAAATTTTTTTCTTAATTTTATTTATATTATATATAATATAATAAATAACAATAATAATAATAATAATTTTAAAATTGGAGACCAAAAAAGTATTCTTTTTTGAAATTATTTTTTAATTTTTACACTATTATAGCTATTATAATAATGTATAATGAACTACCATCAGTGAGTATGCTTCTTAGTAAAAACACATAATAGTCATGACTATTATTATTAATATTATGTATACAATATATATACAATGCATTGTATATATATTTTTTTAAATAACCTTGTTCTAGTGAAAAATTTGAATTCAAACTTTAAATTAGGCACATAACTATTCTGTGATAAAAGATATTTTTTCTGCAAATTATCTAGTCATATAGATGAATGAGTAAAATCAAAGATTTATTTTATAAATAATAAATATTAGTTATTAGCTATTAAATAAAATTACCATACACTATAAATATGATTATGATTACAATGATTCAATATTTAATATGTAATATTTAAAAAAAACCATAATTTAAAGTTCAAAGGTTATCATGAAACACATGTATCACGTGAATTTTATTCAATTTTTAAAGCTGTTACTGTTGCTAAAAATCCTAATATTTTTTATTTCATTTGTTCAAAATATAAAAACTTAGTTTTATTTCCATTCATACTCATTCCATTCTTCTTCATTAGAAATATAATGTGAATTTTTTTAATTTATTAAGTAGCATAATCATGATCATAATCCTAAGTTTCTTAANTTTTTTAATTTATTAAGTAGCATAATCATGATCATAATCCTAAGTTTCTTAAGAAATTATTTGAATATACAACATATGTATTATTCATGACTCACTTTACGGTACATTTATTTTTAAGACCACCTAATTATTCTTCATCAAACTTTCAAATCCAATAAAGCATTTCTTTATTGTAAATATTGTTCAATAACATTATAAAAGTATAATATTAAATTAAAGAATGTTACGATTATTGTGAATATTTAGTAAAAAAAATTATAATAGGTATTTTGTTTGAAATTAAAATAAATTATTCTGTTGTCTCTTTTACGTCCATTAAATAATCTTAACATACAGCATATTTCACTAAAATTTATTTTATATTTATATAAGCTAATTCTAAAATTACTGAAAAATTCAATATGCTATTATACTTTTAAAATAATAATTAAATTACTTACTTTTGAGTTAAACGCGAAACAAATTATTAACAGGAAAGAGACAAGAGCGGCAGAAATGTTGTTAGTTCTCTTGTTGATAAGAAAATAGTAACGTCCCAAAAGGAGCATTTATAGAAATGATATATTTGTTAACAATTTGCGGGAATAGCACACAAATCACAACTAAATTATATCACAATTAAAAATCCGTCATCTGCTCGCCAAATGAATTCGCACTAGTCTGAATAAAGTCATCTTAGATCATTGTATTATTTAAAATGTTATTATTTTATTAATTTACTAATTAAACATTAAATTCTTCTTATTTTCCTCGCCTTAATCCCAACTACTTGGGGAAGTTCACTTTTATCCTAAACTTTCACAATTAAATGTTAGATTGTTACATAAAATTATAACTGTATATCAAAACTATTATTACCATTATAATGATTCTATTATACTTAAAATAAAATCAAATAGTAGGTATAAATTGATCGTATGAACAGTACATAAACTGAAAGCCAGGTTACCGAGTGCTCTCTTGAAAATTAATAAATCCGAACGGTTTTATTTTAAACTTTGATCTGTTCGAGTACTTATAAAAAAAATACTGGGTTACTTATTAAACTCACTACTCCGCCATTTATAAACCGATGTCGAAAATTCTTTTTTATTTAAAAGGACATGCTTTTAAAATAGTCCCATAGAAAATTTATCAAATTCAGTTCAATGGTATTTAAATCAAAATAACTGAAAAAATATGTCATCCAAAGTAAACAAAATTGTGTATTAAATTGCTCTTCTGTGACCAGTGGTATTTACGGTCACTAAAATAAACCTAAATGAACTATCTATCTTCCAGCTTCATTATCAAATAATACTTAATAACTAAAAATATGCACCGAAAATTAAAAATAAAAAGTTTGTACAAAGAAAAAATACCGACCAAAAAATTTACTATGAAAAAATTCACTATAATGTATAAAATAAATCACTCTAGAATTAGAATAAAATTAATTTATACGAATAATAATATACATTTTTGATATTATTGGAATCGGTACCAGTTAAGGTAAATAAACATGTTTCATAATCAACAACACAGCAAACGTGTTGTGTTGTATTATGTGGCAACACTGTTTTGTTTGTTATAACCTAACCAATTTGATTACACATTATGTCATATAATTA